CCCAGGTCTTCGCCTGGCCATCTATGACAAGACAGCTCTTGTCATAGCTGAACGTATGAGGAGTGAAATACCAGATTTCAATAGCAGTAGAGCCAATCTGGAAGTTTGCATACTGAAATACCTGGCACAAGAAGAAAATTTTGAAAAATTCAAGCTGTACATTTGTTCCCCAGCAGACTTTTTGGAGAGTTATATTCAGACACGTGTTGAGACATACTGTTTAGATGAGAACAGTCGACTGGTGATGTTTTTAAATGAAACTCTTACCCAGTATTATGAAAAAATTCAGAAAGCTGTGTTTACATCAACGACAGTTGTCAAAGACAGAATAGGCAGTAATAAGATAATCTCTCTTTGGCTGGATGAATTCTGCAGAGAACTTGGAGGGGACCTAAGATTGCCCAGGAGTGACCTGGTTGGCATTGAACATCTGGAGATAACAGACATAGAGTTCCTGAATAACGCCATGACGGAGGCACTTTCTCCCCTGAGAGATCGTCTCAAGGAAGAGTTTGCTCATGCTGATTTGAGCTCATTTGAAAAGCAGCCTCACACAATACTGCTGGAACACTTTCCAGGCTGCAAGGAGCAGTGTCCATTTTGTGGGGCAGTTTGCACAAACACTGTACCAAACCATGATGGAGACCACCAGCTTGTCTTCCATCGTCCAGAAGTTTTGGGCAGATACAAATGGCGTAACACAGACAACCTTGTCATTGATATTTGCTCTAGCAGTGTTGCCAGTGACTGTAGCTTTAGGATTGGTGAAGACAAGTTGATCCCATACAAGAAATACCGAGATGCAGGACATCCTTATTCCACTTGGAACATTCTTCCTGATACATCCATGCAAAAATACTGGAAATGGTTTGTGTGTCATTTCAGGGCACAGCTAGAAGAATTCTACAAAGGTAAATTTCATGGCAAAGGAGAAATCCCTGCTTCATGGCAGAAAATTACAAAGCAGGAAGCACTTGATGAATTGAGGTAGGCTATGCTGACATGCAGGAAAATCTGCAACTGCTCTGCATTTCAGAAGAACATGACATGAGAATATTCACAAAATAGTGTAACAATTACAGCCTTCAACAATGTTAGGATAACTGCATCTAACTTCTTGTAAAGCTGGACCGAACAAGGTGTACTACTCCTGTCACTCCTCAGAAACGGACCTGCTTCATGATAAAGTCAAACTCCTCTTCCTTTCTTGCCATAAACGCTTGCATCAGCTTTGTCTTAGGACAAATCAAAACCCTACATTTCTGCTGCAACCATTCACACAGCCAAGGTTAAAATGAAGGCTGTAATAAAAAGTACCAAGCTATCTGCAGCTATGTGAAAATAAATAACTCTGGCACAAACATAGTTTCCCTGCAGGACATATGTGGTGAGGTAAAAGCCCTTCTTGCTAAGCTTAGTACTCTGCTTAGTGATAGCGATTTAACTCAATATTCATTAGGTATCCTTCCTGCGTTAAGATGTGCTCACACTCCCATGAGCTCCTGCTCAGGTCTCCTGGCGAACTTCCCTCCACGTCACAGCCTATCCAACTACATTTAGCATGTGCTTAGATTTTGAGCAAAAGCCCCCTGTGTAACTAGCATGGAGAATTAGTTACCTCTACAGCTTCCTCAGTAGACATCAGCAGTGTGTGATGTCAGCATTTATGTTGTGAAGGCAGGTAGGAACTGGGTGCTGGTCTGGAGAACATCTCACCTGCTCTGCCTGTACTGGCACACTGGACAGTGGGGTTTGCTGCACAGTTCCTGCAGTACTGTTCATTCTCCTGGAGAGCTAGTGATTTGTTATAATCATTTGTAGTCTTGATATAGGTTGGTTTAGTTAGTAATAGGATTTGGTACATTATTTTAAGAATGAATACGTTTGTTTAGCAAAAGCAATCCCTAAATGATAGTCCTAAAACTTTCCATTTCAGCTCTAGTGGTGAACAGTCTTGTTTTTCCTCAATAATTTTACACTGGTGACATAATAGAATACTTTTATCTTCTGCCTCAATGATTTTCCCTTATGAAAAGTACTGGAGTCACAATAGAATACTTTTTTTCTTTTACCTCAACACGTGCAATGATATTTTCCACATGTTCTACATACATTGTTTTTAAAATGTGGCTCAGTATAGCCTAATAAGCAATGGAAATCTTTGAAACTGGGGAAAAGTAAATGAAAGTGAATGAAATTGCTGCAGAGACCAGCTTCAGGGCAGGTAAGACTGTACTGGGTGAGGGACCCGAAGCAAAAAGGCTGACCAAAAAGCTCTTTTTTGAAGCCAACAAAAGCACTGTGCTGGTGCTAGCAGCAGCTAGCAGCTTATGGGCAGGCTGCTGAGCCAGCAGGGGTGGAGCTGGCACTGCCCACTCTTATCTCTGAGCTTGACCTTGACCCTTTTCTGCGAGGTTAAAAGCAGCCCTCAGGAGGGAGAAAGCTAGTTTCTGCCCACCTAACATGCCTAGTGAGAAAAGATGAGAAAAGGGTGTTACTGTCCACTGATACAGGGAGGGAAGGCAGAGTGCGTGCAGCCCATGCCGTCCATCACTGCAGCAGTAGGTGTGGGAGGTGGGTTTTGTGGCAGGACACGTCAGTGTTCTTCTCTTTGCTCAGGAGACTGCTCCCCAGGGACTGTGGACCCTGAGTCTACAGGTTCAAACATGGTCTTTACCAGATGGTGGGCTTGCTCCAAGAAGACTGTGGCAACCCAGATGGGGAGCCTGCCCAGAAATGTGGTGGTTCAGGTCTCTGGCTGCAGGGAGTGCCTGAGCCTGCTGCTGCCAGGGGAGGATGGGAAGGACAACCCCTGTGTGAGGTGTGAGCAGGTGGATGAGCTGCTCAGCCTGGTGGTGGAGCTTAGGGAGGAGGTAGAGAGATGAAGAACCATCAGAGAGAGGGAGATAGACTGGTGGTGTGACTCTCTGTGAGGAAGAAGCAGAGATTGCAACCCCCCAACTGTAGCAGACCCTCTCCCCTGCCATGGTCAAACTGAGAGAGCCAACTGGAGAGGAGAAATGGCAGCAGGTTCCAGCTTGGAGACATAGACAACGCCCATCCTGACCTACCTTGGTTCCCCAGGTGCCTCTATGTAATAGGTTTGAAGCCCTGAAACTGGAGGGTGAGGTGGCTGAGGATGAGGTGGGAGGACTGCCTCCAAGCTTTTCTAAGGAGAGGCAGTCAGCTCCACGCTTGAAGACTGCCTCCTCCAGTAGAGAAAGGAGGGCGATAGTCATAGGTAACTCCCTTCTAAAAGAAACTGAGAGCCCAATATGTTGGCCTGTCCCTACCCGTAGGGAAGTGTGCTGCCTCCCTGGAGCCCGGGTCAGGGCTATTTCTAGAAAGCTTCCTGGTCTTATTTGCCCATCTGACTACTATCCCTTATTGGTAGTTCAGGTCAGCAGTGATGATGCTGTTGAGAGAAGCCTGAAGGCTATCAAAAATGATTTCAAGGGGCTGGGAAGGGTACTTGATGGAGCAGGTGTGCAGGTGGTTTTCTTTTCTTTTCCTTCAATGGCAGGGAAGAATACTGAGAAGGTCAAAAAACCCTTAAATAAATGGCTTGGAGGTTGGTGTAGGCACAAGAATTTGGGGTTTTTTGAGCATGGGGCAATTTACTCAGCACCTGGTATGATGGCTGCAGATGGAACTCACCTTTTTGCGAGGGGTAAAAGGATCCTAGACCAGGAACTGGTGAGACTCGTTGAAAGGTGTTCAAACTAGGTAAGAAGGGGGAAGGGGACAAAATGAGGGCCACTGGGGTTGAGCAGGTAGTTCGAGGCTCAAAACAGGTCTATAAATATCTAAGGTGTGGTGAGCAGAGTGGCGAGGCCAGACTCTTTTCAGCGGTGTGTGGAGACAGGACAAGGGGAAATGGCCAGAAACTGGAACACAGGAAGTTCCGCACCAATGTGCGCAAGAACTTCTTTACGGTGAGGGTGACAGAGCACTGGAACAGGCTGCCCAGGGAGGTGGTGGAGTCTCCTTCTCTGGAAATATTCAAGACCCGCCTGGACACCTACTTGTGCGACCTGGTGTAGGGAACCTGCTTTGGCAGGGGGGTTGGACTCGATGATCTCTGGAGGTCCCTTCCAACCCCTGTGATTCTGTGAAAGTAAGCGAAGGCTTCAGTGATGTTGATGATGGTGGAAAAAAGGGAAGAAGTAGATGGGCACTCAATCATCCTAAATACCACTGAGCATCCCCAAAGGGACATTAGCACCTATCTATGAGACCTTGAAAATGAGTGCATATGTATGCCAGTGTATTGCATATGTGTGTCTTAACTGAATGAATGTAGAGCTGGAACTGTGAGAAGGCGCGCTTGCTTGTCAAGTCACCTGGTGTACATTGTAAGGAATAAAGGAATGCTGCTCTCTAACACCACATTGGAGTTAAGAGTGTTTTCTTCCCGGATTTCAGATCACAGTCTTTACTTATAAACTGGTGGAGTTGGACTGGTCTCTGTATGCTTTCTTTCCACTTAAGCCTCAATTGTTGTAGAATCCTAGCATGGTTTTAGTTGGAAGGAAGCTTGAAGTCCACCAAGTTCCAACCCCTCCTAAGAGCTAGAACACCTCCCACTTGGTCAGGCTAACCAAAGCCCCATCCAGCCTGGTGTTGAGCACTTCCAGGGATGAGGCACTCAGAGCTTCTCTGGGCAGTCTGTGCCAGGGCCTCAGCACCCTCTGACTAAAGAATTTCTTGGTATTTTCTAAATCTCAATCTCAATCTCCCCTCATTGTTTAAAACCATTCCATATTACAGTCCCTGACAAATCGTGCTTCCCTATAGGCACCTTTAGGAACTGGAAGGCCACAAAAAAGCCTCCCTGAAGCATTCTTTTCCCTGGACCAAACAAGCCCAACTTCCAACCTGTTTTCATAGGAGAGGTGCTCCAGCCTTCTGAGCATCCCTGTGTCCCTCACCACCAAGGAACTGTGGGGTTCCACCCAGACAGCATTCCCCTTCTTTGTAGTCAAACTTTCTGTGCCCACTGCCACAAAATCTATATGCAGAGTCCTCCTACCCTGAAACCCTCATTTCTTTATTGGAACTGTGGGGCACAGGAGTCTCTACGTGGACTTCTGAAAGAGTTTTGATATGGTCCCACACCACATCCCTATCTCTAAATTACATATGTGAATGGCATGAAAGATGATGGCTGAACCCTTTTTTTTTTTTTTTTCCTTGGCTCAAAGCTCGCTTTGTGAGGCCTTTCTGGTAATCAGGCTCTGACAGCTGAGAATTATCTATGGGGATGAAGAGTGGGTGTCACTGTGCCACAATGCTTCTGCTTATGATTGCAAAGAAAAGCAGAAGCAGGACAAGCAGTCTTTTTTTGGCCATAATACTTGTGCCTGACAATGGAGGCACCACTTCCTGATGGCCCTTCAGGACAGTTTCCCAGAAGATCCCATCCAGCAGTTCCTTGAGAATTTTTCTCTCCTGAATTTCAGGCTCCTGACTCTGCTTTTTGCCAGGCGTCCATTCCTCCAGATTACCAACTCCACCAAGGCACGTTCACTGCAGCCCAGTCCGCCTCCAGTTTTAACCTCGCTAATGCTCTCCTCTGCATTGGTGAGCACCAGGTCCAGCAAGGCTTCACCTCAGCTCAGTCCATCTAACACCTGGACCAGGAAGTTATCCTTGACAGACTCCAGGAATCTCCTGGACTGTATGCCACCCACCATGCAGCTATCCCAGCAGATATCCGTGTGGTTGAAATCCCCCATCAGGACAAGAGCGTGACATCTCCGGGTTGCAGCAAGAAGGCCTCATCAACAGGCTTCCCCTGATCAGGTGGCCTGCAGCAGACCCCAACCACTAGATTTCCTTTACTGGACCAATACCTCATTTTCACCCACAAGTTCTTGACCTGGTCATGGCTGTTCCCCAGACACATCTCTTCACAGCCTAACCACTTCCTAACATAGAGGGCAACTTCCTCACCCCTCCTAGCCTGTCTATCCTTTCTGAACAGGCTACAGCTCCCAGTCACTGTATGCCAGTCATGAGATTCATTCCACCACATTTCTGTGATAGCAGCCAGATCATAATTTTCCAACATCACATTTTCCTGCTGCTTATTTCCCATGCTGCATGCATTTGTGTAAATTCAGTAAAGGTGGAGGAAGTATCATCTAACGAGATTTGGTGGAGAACTTTAGTATGTTCCCATATAGTTTGCAGATCAGTTTCTATCCTTTGAGTTTCATCTATGTAAGCACAACAGCTCTGATTAATAACTACACAACCTCCCCCTTCTTTTGCTGTTAGTAGATCTAGTGGCATCCTATTCTGCAGCACTACTTTACTTAATGTTGAAACTTCTATTTGTAATGCTCTTTTTGCATCCATAGTTGCATTTTCTATTATCTCCAAAGTAGCTGGAATATTAACTACTGCTTTTTCTAATTTGCTTACTCCCAGGAACAGGATAAACCATCTAGAAAAGCTAAGGAAGCCAGTCGGTTTTTCTATAAGGGGGTTATTTACACATTTCACCCTCTTCCAAGGAGTTCTCAGTATCCCAGAAGGAAGAACTGTCCCATTGAAAAAGGAATTCTGGGGCACTAAATATTCCCCTACACAATGTCCTCTCCAGTTCTTCAGCAGGGTCTTCTTTGCCTGTCCATCACTACAGAGCCACCACAACCCTGGTCCCAAAGGGCACTTTCCTGATCCTTTATAAAACACAATATTAAAGCAAGGGTAATTTATCCCACCCTTCCTGGGCCCTCGAGATTACAAAACTGTATTCCATCTTGAGAAGATACATTAAATTCCCGTATATTTGTTGGTCTATCTGTACCGTTTCTCCTAAGTACTGTAATATTACAATCTGTCCAAAGTTGTAAATTGAATTTAGGTCCCTTTATTTCTGTAGTCATATTTTCACTTACACACCTACGTCTAACTCCTGCCCCATTGCGTAGTGTCCAATTGGCAGATGGAATCCCATATTGAGGGAGTTCGAGTTCCATCCTTCCATCTCTTGGCAAGGCTGTACACACCCAACTATTTGAAATATTCAGGACTCACATGAATTTTTCTGTCATTAGTATAAAAGCATTATCCCACCAAGCTGAAGCGACTCCTATACAATCCCTATTTACAAGAAATAATATGTTCATGTTGTCTTCTTAAGCTTGAGGTTAAGAGGTTCCTTCTCTTTGACAGTCTACCTTGGTCGGGCAGACTTCTTCAGGCGGGTATGGTGTATCCACGGGATCAGTCCTTCCACCTTAGCCGCTGTATGAGTGGTCAAAAGCACTTGATAGGGCCCTTCCCACCTTGGTTCCAAAGGTGAATCTGAGAGGAATTTAACATAGACATAATTGCCAGGCAATATATCGTGCACTGGTCCGTCCAGGCCCCATGCTCTGGTACCAAATACCATTCTTTCAATTTTCCTTAATTGCTTTGTTAGCCTAATCACATATTTACTCAACACTTCACTCCCTACCTGCATAGAAATTCCCTTTTGTACAGTATAAGGTCGCTCATAAAGAATCTCATATGGGCTTAATCCTTCCTTGGTTCAAGGTTTAGTCTGAATTCTTAGGAGTGCCAGAAGCAGTGTCTGCGGCCATGGAATCCCAGCCTCTTGGCCAAGTTTTATTATTTGTAACTTGATCAGATGATTCATCTTTTCCACCTGGCCACTTGACTGCGGCCTATAAGGTGTGTGCAATTGTCTATCAATTCCCAATATTGTGCTAAAGGGACAACCTTAGCAATAAAATGTGGGCGTCAATCTGACAAGATTGCTCCTGGCACCTCAAACTTCAGAATTATTTCTTGTAACAAAACCTTTGTTACTTCCCTCGTTTTATTAGTTATGCAAGGGTATGCCTCAGGCCATCCTGAAAAGGTATCTGTTAGGACTAACACGTATCTATATCCCCCTTTTCTTGGTAGCTCTGAAAAATCCACTTGCCATTGTTGTCCTGGATAATTTTCCTTCCCTATTTGCCCTAACTGAACCTTGTGACCTGCTGCAGGATTATTTTGTAGACAGGCTTCACATTGTTGGGTCACTTGTCTAATAGTAGTACACAAATTTCAGGCTATTACTCGATTACAAAATATTTATATAATGCTTCTGCTCCCCAGTGGGTCTTCCTATGTTTAGCCATCACCATGGCCCATAATATGGCTGCTGGGATGACTACTTTCTTCTGTGATGTAACAGCCCATCCTTCCTCTTTTACCTTCTAAATCATTTATCAGATTCCAATCCTCTTTTGAGTATTTTGGCTCACCATCCACCTGAATTTTACCATCTGGAATCAAGGAACTCTCCACTACCTCACCTTCTGCCATTTGTTTTGCTTCTCAGTTGGCCAGCGCATTTCCCATTTCTTCAACGTCATTACCCTTTTGATGGGAACGACAGTGCATGATTGCAACCTTTTCTGGTTGCTGCACTACCTCCAAAAGTCTGAGTATTTCCTCAGCATATTTAATCCCTTTCCCTTGGGCTGATAACAGTCCTCCTTCTTTCCATATTGCCCCATGAGCATGGACAACACTAAAGGCATATTTCAAATCAGTCCATATATTTATCCTTTTCCCCTTTTCCAATTCCAGAGCCCTTATCAAGGCTATTATCTCAGCTTTCTGGGCTGAGGTGTTCGGGGGTAGGGCTTTGGCTTCCACCACATCATCAATAGTTGTTACTGCATATCCCACTTTGCAGACTCCTTGTTGAACAAAACTGCTTCCATCCGTATACCAGGTATCTTCAGCATCCTTCAATGGTTCCTCTTTTAGGTCCGAATGACTAGAATATACATCTTCAATAGTCTCTGAACAGTCGTGGGATACGGGCTCACCCATAGCTCCACAAAGAAAGGCAGCAAGGGTTTACAATGTTTGTTACTGTTATTTCTACATCCTCTTGTTCCACTAGAATAGCTTGGTATTTTAAAAATCTCTGAGGGGAGAGCCAGTGACCCCTTTCATTTCCAACACTGTAGACACCGTGTGGGATACCAATACAGTTATCTTCTGTCCCATTGTGAACTTTTGTGCCTCTTGGATGTTAATTACCAGGGCAGCTACAGCCCTTAGACATCCAGGCCACCCTTTGTTTACTTCATCAAGTTGTTTAGAGAAGTGAGCCATCACCCTCCAGTACGGCCCTGGGACAAAACTCCCAAGGCTATTCCCTGTAGAAAGGGCTTAGTGACACCTGGGAATCCCAAAGGTGGGGCTTTCATCAACTCCTGTTTCAACTGCCAAAACGATCTTTTAGCCTCCCCATCCCAAGTTGAGTCCTTTGAGCAGGATTTTAACATTGCATAGAGCAGTTTTACCATCATACCATAGTTAGGTATCCATAAACAGCACCATCCTGTCATTCCAAGGAACGTCCAAAGCTCTTTGGGTGTGCGTGGCTCAGGGGTTTGGCAAATTGCCTCCTTTCGAGCAGTTCCCAGCGTTTGCGTCCCAGCAGCAATCTCGTATCCCAAATATGTCACTTGCTGTTGAGCAACTTGTGCTTTCTGTGGAGAGACTCGATACCCGTTAAGCCCAAGGAAATTTAGTAAACTAATTGTCCATTTCAGACACTCTTTCTTTGTTTCTGTAGCTATTAAGAGATCATCCACATACTGCAATAGTACCCCTTCATCAGATGGATGCTCCCACTGCTCCAGGTCTTTGGCTAATTGGTTCCAGAATATCGTGGTACTATTCTTAAATCCTTGTGGGAGTACAGTTCAGGTAAGCTGTGATTTTCGTCCTGTGCTGGGGTTTTCCCATTCGAAGGCAAATAATAACTGGCTTTCTGTGGCCAGTGGCAAGCAGAAAAAAAGCATCCTTTAAATCCAGGATGATAAACCATATTAATTCAGTGAATAATTAGGTGAGCAAGGTATACGGATTGGCTACTAAAGGATACAAATCCTCTACTATTTTGTCAATTGCCCTCAGATCTTGGACCAGTGAGTAACTCCCGTCAGGCTTTTTACTGGTAATATCAGTATATTATATTCTGACTCACATTCTATCAGCAAACTGTGTTTCATAAATTGGTCAGTTATTGTTGTATTCCCTCCCTATCTTCTGTCCTCAGGGGATATTGTTTAATTCTAAAGCTGACTCCCTGGTTTGACTTTTATTATTACAGGGGGTGCATTTTTAGCTCAGCCTGGGGTTTCGACTTCCCATACTTGTGGATAAACCTGATATCTTACTTCTTCTAGAATTCCTGTACTTGCTGAGGCAGTTATTAAGGCCAAGCTGAGTAGTTCTATCATAGGCTCTTCCTTTACTTCAAACTTTACCCTCCTTCCCCCCCCTTCAAGCTATACTTCTGCTTCCAATTGTTCCAATAAGTCCCGCCCTAGGAGAGATTTCAGCGAATTTGGCATATACAAAAATCTGTGTATTCCCACCTGCTTTCCCAGCTTAAACTTTAATGGTTTAGAAAAATATGCCTTTTCTGGTTGACCTGTGGCCTTTTTACTGTTACAAAATTTTCACTCAATGGCATCAAAAATTAATTTAAAACAGAATAAGCAGCTCCCATATCCACCAAAAATTTTTATACTTCGTTGTTTATTCCCTAGCTTGATTTTAATCAGTGGATCTGCCAGGGCAGATTCCCCAGATCCTT